ATTGAGTGTTTAATAATATCATGATAAATTGATGATATTAATTCTCATACTTTTAAACCTATTTATTTGGTTTTTAAAAATATTTATTTTCATTTTGTAGATTATTAATAGTATTATCATATATAAATTCATGTATATTTATAAATATATTTGTACTAAATTTAAAATTTTAAAATAATATACTAAAATAACTTATATCAACATATATTATTTTTTAAAAAAACTCAAAATATTATCTTGTATAGTATTAACAACCTTGGTACATACAGCTAAATTGGTACAAATTTGATATATTAACAATACAATATTGAGCCTACTAATGTAAAATGTCACAATTCTAGTGGCTTATTGTTGCAAATAAAACAAAAATATTAATGATGGCAAAGTAATAATGATGAGGAGATATTATTGTTAAAGAGTGACTTGGGATTGAAGCAATGCCACAAAAATTTTATGAGAGTGATTGTGGTTTGTGAATTAGATGGTCCAAACCTAATAGTCCCTCGACAAGGTGGCTAATATAATCGCAAAATTTTGGTGGATAAATTTATTTATTTGAGATAATTAAAAATTAAAAATTAATTTTTAAAGTTAAAAATTTAACATTTCATTGACAAACAATATCACTAGAGAAAAAAAATTTTATTTTAAGATTAACTATATTCATGGTCAATGTGTGATGAGTCTAGTTCACCTTTTAAAAACTCTATTCAAAGTAAAGGTGAGAAAAAAATTTTAAAAAATTTTAAATTAATTTAAAATTATAGCATTTAATTCGATTTGAATTGATTGATTTTATTTTTTTGAATTAAATTTAGATATTAAATATATATATTAGGTTTGGATTAAATTTTAAAGCCAAAAGTAAAAAAAAAAAAGAATGTATTATATATTTTATTAATTTTATATATTTTTTAAATTTTTATAAAATAAAAAAATTATTTTATATTAAAATTTATTTTAATATATTAAAATTTTATATTAACTTAATTTATAAAAAAATTTTTATATTAACTTAATATATAAAACGAGATCCCATCAACTCGTTTTAACAAACCTTTGGGCAATCTATATGAATCATCAAGGAACCGATTCGAACCAGTCTAAACCATCTAATCGTCAAGCGACCAGATTAGCTCGTTGATCAGACTATTGATCGATCCAGTTTAGGTTTTTTTTGTGAATTTTATATTTTTTATTATTTTAAGTTTTATTTTTAATATTTATGCATGATAAATTTTTGAATTTGTTAGAATAAGTATTTGATTGTTTTTAATAATAATAAAAATGAAAAAATATAAAAATAATAATAAAAATAAGTAATGAAATATATAGTTAATTTTTTTTAAAAAATAAACCTTACAGAATAAAAATAATAAAAATAATAAATATATAAAATGCTTATAAAATAGAGTAATAAAAAAACTTTTCTACCTAGATGTTGGAAGGAATATAATTGTGTTTCAAATAATAATAATTCCGCTTATATGTTAAAAAATTATTATAAAAAAATCAATAAATAAATTAACAATAATAATAAATAAATTTTCATAAAAAAAGAAAATACATAAAAAAATTAATTTTAAAAAATTATAAAAATCAAACTTGCTTAAAAAATTCACCTAGATGTTGAGAATTTTTAAAAAGGTTTGTGTTTTCTTTAAACCCTAAAATCTAAACTTTAAAATCTAAACCCTAAATCCTAAAATCGAGATCTTAACCCTTCAAACCTTAAAACTAAAACCCTAAACCCTTTAAATTCTAAAATCAAAACCCTAATCCCTCAAACCTTAAAACTAAAATCCTAAACTCTTTAAACCTCAAAACTAAAACCCTAAACCCCAAACTATAAAATTGAAACCTTAAACCATCTATACCCTAAAACCCTTAAAACCCAAATCAAAACCCTAAAATCCAAAACCTAAAACCCTAAAATCCAAAACCTAAAACCCTAAATTTAAAAATTCAAAACCTTAAACCCCAAATTTGGTACACAATTTTGAATCATCACTCACAAATTAAAACTTTTAAATCCCTAAATTCCCAAACCAATACTCAAAACCATTCTGAAACTTTAAGGATATGTATGAAAATTTCAGATGGAGTAATTTGTTCCCGAGTATCGCTTAAATGATGGGGTATTTAGGAAATTTTATTCCATTAAGTTTTCATGTAGGTCCTTAAATTACTTTAACAATTGGATTAATAATTGACAAGCTTTAATAAAAAAATATAATAATAATAAAATGGGATCTAAATATGAATAGTCACACTTAAACTCTACCTAAATGTTAAGGAGTCAAGAAAGTCTCATTATATTTAAGAATATAATTTCAAATTTGCATTTCATTATCATACATAGTACCTATTAGCTTACATGCTTCTATTTGTTATTGTTTGCACTCGTTTTACATTTCTCTATTTTTAATTTTTATTTGCTACCCGATAATATCATTATTTACTTTCTTATATAAAATATATTTTTTTAACAAAAAAAAAACATATTTTAAAATTGTTATAAAATAAAATAAAAATAACATTCCGAAAGAAATAATTCTTGATATTATACCTAGATGTTGGAGAGTCACCAATAATTATATTCTATAAAGAGTATATTTTTCATTTTAAGGAATATTATATTAAATTTCAAGTGAAAATAGTTACTTTAAATTTTGCTTAGATGCTAGAGAATTTTAAGATAATTCTTTAACTTAAAGATTTTCTTGTTATTCTTAAATAAAGAGCTTTAGCAAAATTTTGTTTTTATTAAAATGAAGGGAATTAGTATTAAATGTCAAATCGAAACCATTTCATCCAAAACCAAAAACAGTGCATGATTAAATAGTACCGATTTATGGGTATTATGGGGGTGCTAATCTTTTCCCACACATAATCGACTACTGAGCCTAACCTAATTTTTTATAGATCGAAATTTATTTTTTTGTTAAATTTTAAACCTGCTTCTGTAGTTCTATTAAAGAAATAAATTTTTTGATAACCAATCACACCATAAAAAAGATTAGTGACAATTCTCTCATTTTTCTTAATTTTAAAATTCTTTATGTCTAGCGGTTCTAAAACCATTACTGCATATAAATATTACACATACACATTTATCTTTTTTGAGTATTTTGGTGGCCTAAAAGATTTTTGGCCTTTTTGTGGGTAAATGAGCTTTTGGTTGTTTTATAATTGTCTTTTATCTTCATCTATGTTTTTGTATTTTTTATTTAAATTTTCTTAAGAAATGATTATTATAATTAAGGATAGTTTGAGAAAATATTACAAAATCTATTTATAACTCAATATGTATTTGAACAATTTAGTAAAGATGGTCGACAGAGACATAAAGGAAATATTTTTTTATTATTTTTAAATATTTTTTTTTCTTATTTTAGATTTTCCATTCTTTAATTCGTTATTTTTCTACTATTTTTTTTAATTTGATATTTTGGAAATATAATTTAAATGTTCAAGAAATATAATAATTAGACCAAATAATTTATTCTTTAACATTAAAAAATAAATTATACCTTCCACAATGAAACAAAGCAATGAACTAGTTATAGTAAAAATTAAAAACTGTACATGTCTTTTTTTTATGAAAAACTATTTTTATAAAATGAAAATATGAAAAAATTTTATGTTATGCATTGTGTTTAGAAAATAGAAAATGAATTAATGAATTTTTTCTTGGGCCATACAACAGAAGGTCCACTATTACGGTCATAAAAATGTTTTGTCCAATTCTGCTAGAGAACATAGGCATATAGAAGAACGAAATCGTGTTTTTTTTAAGGGTTGTAATGAACTGAATGAGTAAATATATATTTATGATTTATTCGTTTAATTTTTATGTGTTTGGGTTTAGTTTGTATTTAATAAAAGAATTATTTTATTTATTTGAGCTCAATTTATTTAAATAATAAATGTTTATATTTAATTTAATTAATTTATTCATAAACATTGAACGAATATATTTACGAATAATAAAAAAATTATAGTAAAATAAATTTAAACAAACTCAAAAGAATATAAATAAACCTTAAAATATAATTAAGATAAAAATAAAAATATAATTTTATTAGTATTATTACAAACTAATAGTAATAAAATAATAAACAAATAAATTTTAATCAAATTTTAAACAAATTTATTTACAAATATAAATGAATCAAATAAATTTTTACTTATTTTTGATTCGTTTAATAAATAAATATAAAAATATTATTTAAAATTATTATTAAATTTAATAAATAAGTATAAACGAACGAAAATTAAACATGTTGACAGGTAATTCGCCAAAAACTTTGGTTATTTACGCCTCTAACGACTAGAGGGAAAAGCCTTTTACGTTTGTTTTTGGTTAGTCTCGAACTCGGGATGTAGAATAGATTAATTAGTAGAATTTACCGAAGCCGTGTTTTCATTTTTTTCTGTCGATTTTGCTATGTTTGCCGGAAAACATTGAAAAAACTCTTTTTTTTTTTAAAATTAAATGTATTTTCATCTCATTTTCTAAAAAAAAAAAATTTATCAAATATTTATTAAATATGTTTTCACTTCTGTTTTCTATTTTTCATGAAAATAAAAACAGAATGAAAAATAGAACACAGAAAAGAATTAGGTTTTCTTTTAAACAAACACACCCTAAAGAGAAAACAATAAAAACATCTCAATCAAAAACAAGCCACCAAAGAACATATCAAGAAATCTCGGATTTAGCCAAACCATCCGCAATAGAGTTTGTTTCTCGAAAAATATGTTTGAATGAAATACCGTTGAAATTGCATTTGAGACGTTTAATATTGATTTGAGATGTGTTTTTTCCTTCACGAGATAGAATAATAATTATTGGCTCAGAGAATAGCCTTACTTGAAAACAAGCCCAAGAAGAGGAAAGGAATAATATCACTGACACTCCGAGTAATCACACCGGCAAGCGGCAATCCGACGCTGAAATCAGGGGTAGGAGACGGTAAATAGAAAATATTGAGCAATACAAAGAAATTGATAAAAGTATTATTGGCGACACTATAAATTTCTCGACGAATGCCATAATATATATATAATTATTTCCATTGATCTACTTCAACGAATTACACAATTTAATTTACCCCAATACAAACAAGCCATCTCAAGTAGCAAAGGAAAACATAGAAAATAGCAACCCCTGACCATAAAACGAATGCAAGATTCTCCAATTGATTCACCTAATAGAAGCAATCATGCACGTACTACATCTATTCACATTATCCCACCACCAAGGTGAAACATTTCAGTGCAGTGGACATCTTTTACTTGACACCAAAACTCTGGGGGCTTGGAAGAGACCCTTGGAGAAAAACTGTTATTAGTTTTTTTTTAATAAAAGAAGGCTGTAGTTTAGATAAGAAAAGGAATTGCATGAACTGAGATTTGACTATCATGACACTTTTTAAGTATGATCTACAGAAATTAATTAAGTTGAACTGGATAAATATTATTAGTTAAAATAACGTACACTCAAGGCTTGTTGGCGTTACCCATCAAAAACAAGTCAATTAAGCGCGCAAACGAAGTGAACGAAGACCCATTGCTATTCTTCACAGCTTTCCGGCTCATTTCACTCATCTTTTTCACCCTCTTCCGCACCTCGCTGTCCCCATCCATCAAGCAATTTAGAGCTTTGCCAATTTCATCTGCCATCACCGCATCACTCTCGCCCAGCTTATAGTCTAATCTCATCTCCACTGCTAACCCCAAATCTTTCACCATCTGAAATGCATTCATTTGTTGCTCTCCGTGCATTGGCCATGTCAAAATGGGCACCCCATACCATAAGCTCTCAAGAATCGAGTTCCATCCGCAGTGTGATAAAAAGCCTCCGATGGATTTGTGGGCAAGGACTTCAACTTGAGGAGCCCAACCACATACCATTCCTCTTCCTTCTGTACGCTGCAAGAACCCTTCAGGCAAAATCTCCTTCAGATTGGGGCAATTACTGGGCCTAATTCCCAACCCCTGGTTCCTTGGACTTCGTATCGGCAGTGACCACAAGAATCTATGCCCGCATTGCTCGAGCCCCCGTGCAATCTCCATGGCTTGTGGTTCCACCACGCAATACACGCTTCCAAAACAGATGAAAACCACCGTTGATGGGGGTTGATTGTCAAGCCACTTCATGATCTCGTCATTTTGGACCTCATCACACATCGAACTACTATGACCTCGAAGCTCAAGTACGGGCCCTACCAAGTAAAAGGGTGGTATGTCATACTCTACCAGAGACTTAACCGCTTGAGGTTCTAACTCTTCGAACGAGTTAACAATTATGCCCTTGGTTTCTTTCAATCTTCTCATGGAATTTTTGGTGTAAATGTACCCACCATTCTCGTCAAAAAAAAGCGAGGGTATAACTTTACAAGGAACCGGGTTTGTAAAGCTTGGGATAACTAACTCTCCATCGGAAGCTTGAAACACCCTGCCAACTTGATCATGTCGAGTAACTACGTGTAACATAAATCCAAGAGTGGCTGCACCGGAAGTGTAGAAAAGATAAGAAGGGAGGCTAAGTTCATTGGCCACATCAATCATAGGAGCGGCAAATGCATCAACAACAAACAAGGCAGCAGAGACAGCATAATTTGGTAAAACGTGATTAATGATATACTCTTTGATGTTCGACTTGTGACTCTCCAAAAATTCAAATCCAACTATATATGGGCTTTTGGTATTGCTTAATGGATCAGTTTCCATTTGAGGAAAATTGATAAATCGTATTCGAGCATCAGAAGCCGCAAGTAATCGGACGTATGTTTGGACCTTCGGTTCCAGCAATGGGTCTATAATTAGGACTGTGACTGAGAAACGATCATCTTGATCACGCAATCGCTTTGCAAACTCAACATTCGAGACGAGGTGGCCGATGGCTGGTGCAGGGATGAAAACTACCTCTATTTTTTCCATTGATTTTTGTCGGTGATCTCTGGTGGGTCGTATTATACAGCGGCAACTTTTTGTCTGAGATTTTTTTTTTCTTGTTGAAAATGTTGTCTACAATAGCCCCATTAATGGTGATCACCTGGTCCACCTGTGGTGTCAACCACCTCTATTATTGAAACGAAAGGTAAAAATATAAATGCTGACACTGACCCCAATGTCAGTTGGATATTTTTTGGGGTACTGAAAATACATAATTTATACGCTGATATACTTAAATATAAAATTTTAAAATTTTATCCACACCTTATATGCTTGGAAAGTATGTGACTCATCTACATTAATTTTTAGTTTTATATATCTTTTGTTCGGTTAGAAAAATTAATTATAATACTTTATTGCTTTTACTATTTTCTTCTTTAGTTTAGAAAATTAATCAGACATGACATCTATTGGAGAGAAAATTTGTATTCAGTTACAAAAATATCACATGTTTTTCCAAATTTTTCTTTAAATTTCTCTAGTGCCAAGTAAAATTTATAAAATAAATTACTTGAAGATTTTCAAGTGATAAATCATATATTGTCTTGTGATATTGATGACGTTATTAAACAAATTACCAAATTTCTCATGTTATTAAATAAATTGTGAAATACACAATGTATCATTTGATAGTTCAAGATAAAAACACGTGATTTCACCCATCAAATCTCAAAAAATCATAGATATCCTCTTTCCAATCAAATTTCATTATCAAAATGCTTAAATTCTTATAGAACTTTCTGTTCATTGCATTATCAATACAATGCTCCTCAAAATCTTCCATAAAATAATAGATGAATCAGTTTATTTTAAGGTAAAATATGTAATTGGTCACTTAATTATGATAATATTTATAAAATAATTATTAAACTTTTAAATTTTTAATTTAATCATTAAAGTTTGAGTAAAATTTTTTTTCTCACCCAATAATTAATTTTTAAAAAACCTCATTTTTCTTCTACATTATAAGAGTCAACTCAAGATCTCTAAAATTAAAATATTAAATTTTAACTACTAGAGTATTTTCTAAAGGACAATTTGATCGTTTGTAGTGATGAAAAGATAATTAAGTGATGAAAATATAATTAACATCTTAATTTACAAGGAAATTTAATCTACGCACCAAAAAGTAAAAGTAGTCCCTAACTTATTGACTAGTAGTTAAGGAGCTCATAAGAGGACACAAAGATCTTTAGATCTCTTTCCTCTTTTTTCATGTTCTATGCCCATTCTATATAAAAAAGTACAAAATCCAAGTCTCAACCCCAAGAAGTTCTACACAAATAAACAAAAACTAATGCCAACGAAGTAGACTTGAATATGGTGGAAGAAGGAATCCCATATTTTCCTCTTTTAAACAACCCTTTCAGAAATGGCAAGAAGCATAGCACCACCCATAGGCTGCACAAGATCTCACCTAGCCCTACTCCCTGCCCAACATCATCAACTAATGGTCGCAACCCTAAGGAAAAGGCGAGCAGTGCTGTCAGGTGCACCAGCAAAATGGTCGTGCCCGGCACAAAAATTGGTGACTCATCGAAAGTAAATATTGTGTTACCGTTAGTTTCGTCACCATCGGAATTAGATTGTTCTTTTTTTGTAACTTCAAAAACTGCATCAGAGAGCCCTAGCAGTTTGAGGACGACGCTTAAAAATCCAAATAAATACGCTGAGGTTGCTGTTATTCTTCCCATTTTCATGTTATTCCACCATGCTCGGATGGACATGCCGGTTTTCAAGTATTCCCTGAGAGTGACCAGGTTGTAAATCATAAAGTCACAACCGGAATAAATATAGCCGGCTCCTGGACCTGTAGACATATTCATTGTTAAACTTGTTAGCTATTAGAAACACATAAAGGTCACTCTTTTTAAAAAAAAAAAAAAAAATCATTTTTACTTTCCCTTAATACTTTTTTTGTTTCAAATCAGAAGTAATTTCTTAAAGAAAATTTACAATCAATAAAAGTTAAATCTTGATTTTATAATTTCTTGAATTTTAAACAAGATTAAAATCAGACATTGCATATGAGACGGAAGGAGTAGTTTATATAACTCATACAATTACATTATACTAATTTGTTTCAAAGATAAAGTAATGATATTTAATCAGGAAAATATTCCTTTGAACTTCATCAACAAAAAATTCTGTCTAAATTTTGCTTACTAATTTTTACAAAGCTTCTTTTGTTTTCTTATTGCATGTACTTGTTTTTCAGAAAGTTGTATATGGAACTTCAACTATATGTGGCCATGATTTGATGTCGAGACAGTAAAACATGCCACCGACGTGAGAGACAAAGACGTAACACATAACATGACCTCCAATACTTCATTCTACCTCTTTCATTTTTTTGGTATCTATCTATATAAAATTTGAAATTTAATTCAAGTGATTAATGTAGTTATTTTTAGAATGTGACAATTAACAAGTTTGAATTCAAATTGTAACCTATTCTTTTATCTTTAAACTACAACATGCTATGCATTAAAATAAAAAATAAAAAAAAAGAAAAAAAGAGAGCATATAAGAGGACCGACCTACTGTCAATTCTATACTACTGTTATACTACATGTAGATACAAGATTGTCCTCACCTTGGGCAAAAAATGGAGTTGGCGATGATGCAATATGCAGGCACAGCAGCATAACATAGCTCAGGAATTGAGGAGACGCCCCATAAAAACAACCAGATGTAGAATAACAACATCCTGAATTGGAGCTTCCCATTCAGGGTGGCAAATATAGGGCTGTTTTTGCTAACGAGGATTTCAAACAGGCCTATCGCCCACCTTTTCTGTTGAGTCATTACTGCCGGACCCGCAGACGGCGAACATCCTAGAAAGGCCGGTGGGCCGGGGGTGAGATAGGTGGATTTCCACCCTTTCTTGTGAATCTCCAACCCCGTATGGGCATCTTCAGCCATGGATCCATATATCCATCCAACCTGAAGTGAATGTAATCAATTATACTCTAAATTCAAGTTTTACACTTTACAATCAAATCGATATATACTCTGTTACTAATATTTTAGTAGGTTTATTCTACTAACTTTTGTCCCCCAGCTTGTACCAAACTCATAGTCACAACCTGCAACCTGGAATGCTGCCTCAAGAGAATTTGAATGGTTGTTTGGAAAATCCTTCTTCCCTTTCATTGCATAAATTGCTGATTCTGAAAACTCCTTTGATTTCCCAAACACTTTTAACTGTTCACAATCATCTAATTTTCCTACATATAAGAAAGTATAAACCATCATGGTCCTATTATTTAATAACCATTGGAATATAGTTAGAGTTATAAGACGAAAAGAAATTATTACTTCAGATCAAATTTGCCAATTGAATTTTGCTCATATGATTCAATTTCTTTGAATTTTGTTATTTTACTTTAAAATTGAAATAAAATTTTCACTGGCAATAATGAAATATTCCATTAAATATTTTAATTCTATTACTTTTTATCCAAAAATTAACGAAATTAAAAATATTAAATCATAGTATAACAACAGTTGCATCTTACTTCCTTAATTTATGGTTAGAATGTTCAAGTATATACCTTCAATTGATGTATGATTTCTTCCCTGATTTTCTGCGTTATCAGGCCATAGACCGTGGATAACTTTTCGCCTGTGAAAACATCCCGTTCCGACATAGAATGGTCCTTGGATTCCCGCTGTTCCAGGGACCACATACTAACACATCAACATGTAAATTCTCTTAATGAATGCAGCAATTCCAAAAACGAAAGAAGAAAACGGAGAAGTAGAAAATTCATCGAGGTTCATAGGAATTTTATGTGGCTCACTTCAAAAAAAACCTCAAATTGGTTTCCGTAAGGATCATCCTTCGGTCCATCATAAAAGCGTTGAGGATACTGAACAAATGCGATTTCACTTTCACTTTGGAACCGAGAAGATGACACATTGCTTGACGAACAACTTGTGGATTGCTCACAAACACATCGCAGTCTAAGTTCAGCATGAAGGGCGCATTCGTCATCAACCCTGACACTCTACTCTGTTTTTCAAACAAAAACCCAAAGCTCTTTTATTATACATCACAAATTATTCGGCCTGAAGGGGAATTGATTTTTAGTTAATTACCAGAACGTTCATGGCACCGGCTTTGAAATGACGTGGCTGTTTTGGCCGTTTCTCTCTGGAAATGTAAACCAAATGTGGCACATCATCATCCCGAGGGCTTTGTTTGTTCTCTCCTATGATCTACAAGAAAACAATTCAAATGATTCCAAATTTAATAACCAAATATATATAATTTTGTTTCGATTAATTAGAACATTGGAGAACATTTCAAACTTAAGGCTGTCTTTTTCTACAATGAGTTACCTTGATGATCGTTGGATGGTTGCCGCGTTCAACCTTGGAGAAAACAGCAAACTCACCACTTAGATCACATGGAGTTGATTTTTGTCCTGCTTCCTCTATTTTTAGGCTAAGGTGCTCGTACTTAGCCTACATAGATTAGGATATTACACTCAGACAAACTTTTTAATTTATTATTAACAATGTTAATTTTGATCTCCTAACTTTGGTATTGGGTACCTTCATCTTTTTCCAATCTTGTTTGAACTCAGAATTTGCAGAGGATGATGTAGGAAGGTCGAAGAAGTATCTAAAGGGAGCCCTGAGTTGAATTTTGTATTTCTTACAAAATGGGACCCAAAGCTTTGCAAATTTCGATGCTTTCACCAGAGAGTAAAAGGTGAGAGGGGAGCAGCCGTCGTCGGATACATAGCAAGCAAGTTTATGAGCTGGATAATCAACAGCCAACAAAGAGAGAACGCTGTTTACAGTTATAATCGGCAGCTCTAGCACGGGGTCTGCTGTCGTGACAAACATGTCCATAGGGGGAAGATATGGAAACCTGACAACAAAATATATGAACAAATTATTTATAATAAACAGTAACAGAAAGATGATGGTGATCGTACCTCTGTTCAAGGTTTTCTGGATACGTTTTGAATTCCACAGGATTCCATTTGGAGCTGAGATTGAGAAACCAGTTGAAAGTGAACCATGACTCGTATAAGAAAGCAAGGAGCCAGACAAATCCGTGGTTCTTTAGAGAAAGGAGTCGATAAAACAGGA